TTTTTTACTAATCGTATCTAAAAATTATAAAAAGAAGAAATTGTAGCATTAAATCGTCTTCAAGTTGAATAAATCAGTATTTCTTTATCTATATCTTTGAATAAATTATTATAAGAAAAATTTTCCATTATCTTAATCTTTTTAATTCTTCCCATGTCGTCATTACTAAATAAAGTGATGCTTAACAACGAAATTGACAGATTAGTGCCAATTGACATTGACGCGATCTTTGATATTAATGAGGAGTCAGACATGGATATCAGTGACAATGAACTTGATAATACTCTTGATAGAATTATGGATACAACAGATGGTATTGGGGAAGTGTGGGAAATGAAAGATAACGACGAAACCCCACAGGATTCGAATAATACAGAAAAATCCAAAACATTTTATCTACCTGTTGATAGTTATAAAGAATGGATCAAAAATCTTGAGAAAGCAGGGCTTAGTTATGTTAGACATGAACATAGAATAAAAGAAGGTGGCCCTAGAAAAAAATATAGGTGGACAGAACGATAGCACTGCCATCATTATAGCACATACAGTAGTGCTGCTGGGAAGAATTTTAGTGAAAAGTCGCGACTTTCACAAAAAGAAACAAAAAAATGTGGATGCAAAAGTTACATTAAAGTAGCACACCCAGTTGATTCAACAATGGTAATCCTGCAACACTATTATAAACATATTAATCATCAACCCGGCCGGCTATCAGATTTATGCACGCTTCCCCTGTTTGACAATATACGCCATTTCATTAAGCAACGTGCTCTAGAGGCACTTGATACTCATAGTATCCAACAACTTTTGCAGCACCGGGGAATCAAACTTCAAGATCATGTGCAGCTTTTAGAACAGGGAACAGAATCTCAAAATATTTAATCATTACAAGATGGTCTAGTAACAAAAGATGATATTTATACTATTGTGCATAATACAATGAAATTGTGTGTCTACCTTGATAATGATGAATTAAATTTGTTAATAAAGTGGGAAGAGAAATTAAATTGCGCGGGTGGGTGTTGCTTATTTAATCGCGGTGACAATGATAGAGAGTTCATATTTGCTTTTCAAACAGAAAAGCAAAAAGAACTAATAAAATTTGCAAGGGTGGTGTGCTTGGCTAGTACGCATGGGTTGAATCAACATGGATACCACCTCTTTACACTCATTATTCGACATCCATCAACAGGAAGTGGATACCTGGTCACATTTTTAATTAGCAAATTCAAGCGATCAGTTACCTTAAAAGCTTGGCTTGATTTTTTAAAAGAAAAAAATAGAGAATGGAATCCAGATATCTTCATGGTCGATGTGCTGGTGAAGAGATCAAGGCTGTTGAAGAATGCTTCCTGGATAGCAGTGTATTATTATGCCATTTTCATGTTTTGCGCTCCTGGCATCGCAATCTGAATCATCATCATGGTGCTAATAAAGATCTACACAAAGTAATTATTTGGAAAGATCTTTGGCGGTTAATAAAAACTGAAGGATGGGACGATTTAGAGGCGTTAAAACAGGTTACAGAAGCAATTAATAAATAAAGATAAATAAATGTAGAAGCTACAAATAAATTCGTAGAATATTTTGAAAGGTAGTGGAAGCCCAAGTACGATAAATGGATAGTTTGCCTAAGAGGAGTTGCTAGAGACATGATGAATACAAATAATTTAATAAAGGCATTTCATAGAAAATTAAAATATGTATATATGAGAGGAAGATCTAGACGACACCTTGATAGTGAAGTATACCTACTTGTTGAAATAGTACTCCGGGATTTGGACTTCTCTGTTTTCTTGGATGATTTGAATATCGGAAGGATGAATCCACGAAGATGACAACAACAACTCTGAGAGATTGAGAGAGCAAAAAAAATTAATCAGAACAATATCTACAATCTTAGCTCAAATACTTGGATTATCCGTTCTATGACTAATGCTGATATTGAATATACTATTAGAAGAAGTAATGAAGAAGATAATTTAAACACTAATTCATATGTTTGTACTTGTCACGATTTCAAGGTATGCCAATTACCATGCAAGCATATATTTGCTGTGCTAAGTCAGCTTCAGATCTTTGAAGATAACATAAAAGAAAATAATCAACATATTCAACTTCAATATCCCACGAAAATTAATATTTTGAGTTCTTCCAGCTCTTCTCATTTACCTGCGAATTATACTAATATAGGGAAAACTGAGTTAGAAAAATTACAAGAAGAACTTGCAGCAATAATTACAGTATGGAAGGATAAAAATAATCAGAATATTCATAGTCAACGGCTTACCCTCCAACAAGCAGTCCAAGTGGAAAAAGAGAGAATTGCAAGAATCGACACTGTACCATTAATTACCGGCAATAAATTTGAAACCCAAAATGTCGCACCAAATACAAAATTTAAAAAACAAGATAGATTTTAATTTAAACAGTATAATATAAATTGTGATGCGTATATTACTTGAGTAACTTCTTTTAAATAATCCTAAGTTTACATAAAAAATAAGATATAATATATAAGTTATTCTTTATGTCCTAATTCTGTAATATTAGAGTAATAAAAAAAATTTTTAATAAATTCACTTTCATATACTATATATATAAAAAAAAAAAAAAAAATTAGACTTCACAAAATTAATTTCTAACTTAAAATTATAATAATACAGACCTGCCACTCAACTTTTTTTTTTTTTAATTTATAATGTCCACCCGGTTACTAAACTATATATGTATAATTTTTTTAAATATCTTAATTTTGGCCTTAGGTTTGTTTCGTTTTATTTCTAATTAATTATTTTTACATTCCAATTTAAAATAATTATGCTTGTTAAATCGGGAATTATGCAAGTAACAAAGAGAAAATCAGGAAGTATACAAGAAAAGATCTTTTTTTTTTGTACAAGATACATGCACAAGTTAGAATTAGCCAATAAAATAAGAGTCAGAAATAAATTCAGAAATGAAAATCAGAAATGAGTGCAGAAGGTCACGTTGATGATTTTGCCCAATCAGAGATGAGATCTACCTGCGGCCAATAGGAATCATAGAAAAGGGGGGTGAAAATTAGTAAATGCATTAATAATGTAGTTTAGATCATCCCAAATAGTTTGGGCAACATCTAATACTCCGCAAAATCAAATCAAATCAAATTTTGAATTTGAATCAAATATTTAAAATTATTTTTAATTAATTTGATCAAATAATTTCAAATATTTGATTGATTTTGTGGAGTACTAGCAATATTGCTAGTTTCAACTAAGATTCTTAACTTGTTCATGAATATTAAAATATGTTACTCTGGAATTCGAATCATGCTAAGACAGTTCATTTAAGTGACACTAATAAATTACATACCTCTGGCCGCGATACTGTCTATAAAAACTATCTGTACATTTTTAAAGTTACACATCGATCTCAATGATGACATAACCACTATTTCTAATCATTTTTTACTTGAATTTAATATAGTACTTTACCCTTTTTCTTTGATAGGTCAGTTACAATGATTTGATAACCACAAAAGACTGCTATTTTATTTGATCAATTGCTTTATTAGGCTAATACAAATTTGCTATATAATATTGATACTAAAATTGAACAACTTTATAATTGGGATGTTCACTTTCAGAATGATAGACTTACCAAAAACATTTTAACACACCAAATACTTTTAATTCTTGAAAATGTTTTCTGAATATTTATATTGAGAACTATATATCTAATTATCACACAATTTTTTCTCTTAATGTTAATAAGAATAACTAAAATATTGATAAAATATATGCATACTATAAAATATATATAAAAGACAAAAAAAACCTCTATCACTATGCGATATTATAATTTTTCTCGTTATTTAATAGTGTAAAAAAATCATTAATAGACATTTGATGCTTAGACGCAATATATTTTCTGTTTATTAGAGCTAAGTATTTTTGAAAAATTTTAAGGTCTTTGGCTTTAAACTCTTCATCAATTTGTTGTTCAAAGTAGCCAATAAATTTATTTAAACCTATTAGCCCTTCTGAAATAGGAATTTCCAGTTGTTCTTTGTCCAAGTCTTCAGGATCTCTATTATTACATTGATTTGCTTCATCTAAAACAATTTCAATAATCTCCAAATCCTTAAGCTTTTCTTCAGTTATGATATGCAAATCATTGAGGCCTAAATATATATTTAATTGGCTTTCTATTTCTGGGTCCAAATCCTGAGAGGTCAAATATATTACCAATTCGTTGACATCCTCTTCTTGCTGTTCTAACAGCACATCCTGATTATTGGTAGCAACTTCGATTTCTTCGCCGGGAACTGATACCAAAATTCTGGTCTTTATCCAACAATTAATGATTACTGTATCTTCAACAGCATCTCAAGACTCAGATATGTAGTAAATAGCATCCTTAATAGTTAATTTTTTTCTAATTAAAATTGAAATACAATTAGTATTAAAAATTATTATATAATTAAAGGATAACATTGGTAAAATTTAAAAATTCACCATGTTAAATGGCACGATTCAAATGCCACTCAAACTGCTATTTGAACTATTTAACACTATCATATAATTTTACTGACACGCATGTCTGTGAAATCATGTAGTAGTGTTGAATGGTAGTTTAGATAGCAGAGTGAGAGCCATTCGAATCATGTCATTCAACATGGTAAATTTTTAAATTTTATCAGAGTAAGTTCTTAACTTTTTTAAATCTTCATTGTTTTCAAGCTGCATTAGTATGTGACGAATATATTTTTGCTTATATTTGGATTTGAAACCTTTGATAATACCCACGTCCATGGGTTGAAAATGAGCAGTGGTATTTGGGAGTAAAAATTCAAGTTTAATGTTAGTTAATCATATATTTGAATAATCAGGAATATTTTATGGTTGACTAGAACCACTACCATAATGGCTCTTACTCCTACCAGTACTATGTTTACCACATTTACCACGATTACTATGGCTAGTACTTGCACCCTTATTGGCTCTGGTTAATCTTGGTCAACCTTGATGATTTTTGCGCGAAATGGCTGTCACCTCAAGTTCTGAATCATTAGATGTTTTTTCATCAAAATCAGAATTTAATTCAATTGGTTCATTTAATTCACAAGTATTAAATTGGTCATAAAAATGCGATGAGGCATTATCTACTTTTACAAGACTTTGTGATTCTAAATGCGAAACCTATGATCCAAATTTATTAACCACTCAGAAAATACGTCATTTCACATCCATGCCCATGAATTTGCATGGTAAAGAACAGATAATGAATCATAATTAACATTATGAAGCACACGAGGAGAAATTGAAGATCCAATTACAGATCTTCTTTAGAATAACTGGGCAATATAAAAATATTATAAAATTATAATATAAAAAAACACAAACCCTAATTCTAATCTAACTTTAATATACAATATAACCCTTATCCTAACCCTAACTAGTCCCAAATTTGCATAAATTAAGTTAAATAGTTATTTATTTATATTTTAATTTTATAGTGTTTCTATATTGCCTGGTTATACTAAAGATCAACCCCAATTACTAATGGTTTTAATTTTTCTGTTCCACTTGCATTGCATGCTAACATAATAGTAATCTGTGAACGATCCTAATTATCATACAAGAATTAAATATTTAAAATGTGTTTGTTAAATAGTTACATCTAATTTTCCTGGTGGTTACTTCACTGACGAGCCATTTACCTGATATCACACAAGGTAATAATTTACTAATAATATATACCTGCATCTAAAATATTAATTCTAACCTTATGTGATACCAGATAAATGATTTGTAGGCGAAGTGACCATCAGGAAAATGAGTAACAACGATATTAAATTTAATTATAAGGCACGCTAACTTAATTCT